GGGGGAAGAGAAGGTAGAGGGGAGAGACTAGGAGGAGGGGAGAGAGGGAGGGAGGGGGAAGAGAAGGTAGAGGGGAGAGACTAGGAGGAGGGGAGAGAGGGAGGGAGGGGGAAGAGAAGGTAGAGGGGAGAGACTAGGAGGAGGGGAGAGAGGGAGGGAGGGGGAAGAGAAGGTAGAGGGGAGAGACTAGGAGGAGGGGAGAGAGGGAGGGAGGGGAAGTTGCAGTTGGGATTAATATATGGGAGATGAATAAATTAAAAAAAGATAAAGAAAGTTTGGCTTGGAGGAGACCGGGGAAGCCACTCACCCTTTCTCAATCTATCCCTATCACTAAGCTGAAGAAGATAACTTCTGCTTTGTCTATAGGTTAGAAGCAAAAGCAATGGAGACAGCGCTCTGCGCCTGTGTGCTTCCATGCTGTGAACTGAAATGCATAAGCTTTTATGACCTTTGTCCAAGGGTGGCGGTAATGTGGAAGGAGTGGTTTTATTTATGACTTAATTTACTTTAAAATTTAAATTAGTTTTTTTACTGATACACAAACTGTAGACATCGCCATCACCGTGTGTCATTTCAGTACATCCCGTTTAGACAGGGTTTAACATCGCAGGCTTCGCAAACATTTAACCATTTCATGTTGATGGGAATACTTTAAACCCTCTACTCTAGCTTTTGAAATACATAAAGACCATTGTCATTGTTAGTCACCTTACTCTGCAGTTCTTCACCTTTAACTGGGATTTAGTTCCCACTGAGCAAACTTTCCTTATGCACCAGGTTTGAAATAAAGTATTTTTTTTTCTTGGAGTAATCCAAAACCATAAAATTCTGAATATTATTCATGTGCAGCTAACCATGTAAGCAAGATATTTACCTAAAGAAAAACAATAGAAGCCACATTTATGTGGTCAGTAGCAAAATAGGATGAAGAAAGACGATACCTTCAGATGGACCATGTCGGTTTGTAGTTCAAGACTCTGTCAATCACACATCTTTGGAAAGGACTACCATGACTGTTATGATGTTATAGCAGAGATAGCTTTAAAGAATTGTCAACACAGACACACTGGTGATTACTGGAGTCAAGCTGGTTGTGGTGGTGCATGCCTTTAATCTCAGGACTAGGGAGGCAGAGGCAAATAGAATGAGTTTGAGGCCAGCCTGGTCTACATAGTGAGCTCCATGACAGCCAAAGTTACACAGTGAGTCTCGGTCTCAAAACAACAAACGTTTCTCTGAATAGCTTTAATTAATAGAACAAGTGGATTTTTTTAATAGAACAAATGGACTCTTAAATCACTGTACAGTAACTTGAGAAAAGCTTTCTTGTTTCTGCTTTTTTCCTTATCTGTAATAGGTTGGATTGGAAAACAATTTCTATTTCATAAGAACAAGATAATCAAAAGATAATTCTTGAGGGGCATTGTAATACTAAAAATCCAAGGGTTTAGAAACAAAGCCACTGTGAAGAAGACCATACATCACACTGCACAGTGTTTGTATATGACTTTGCTGCTGACACCCAAGCCTAAACAGAGCAAAATAAACTCCAGAGGCTAAGAGCAAGATGTTCTCAAGACTCAGTTTACCTGTTGAACCAGTCATCTGTGTATCGAGGGTATGGATAGGGGTCATTGCTGCTGAAGTCATAACTTGCATCAGAGTTCTGAAAGACACAAGGTATCTCAGGTCAGTAAAGCTGCAAACACGTAAAGCGGGCTGATGCTCTGAGCGCACCATGTTATGTCTATAACTCCTCTCTGGAGGGGGTGCTAGTGCTCTGTGTAATTGCATTTTGCATATGTTTTTATTTATAATATATAATTATTCATTTGCATATATTGCATTTTGCAAGGACAGGCATTTTCAAAATTGGGACAGAACTTGTGTCCCCTTAGTTCAAGCCTTCAAAGACTTGGCAAATGGGAGGCCTGTGTTCTCCAGGTCTTAGCTTCTCTTTAAGTTGGGGTAACCCTTGTGTGTTAGGAAGCTCCACCTAGAATCCAGGGCTTAGGCTAAGCGTCTTTGACACTTTTGTTCACTGGTGGCCAGACGCTTTATTTTTCGTGTCACGAGTGAGGCAGCCTTTATTTTGTAAGTTCTGCTTTATGCTGAAGGCTTCCTTCCATAAGGCTACTTCTCATTTCCTTTCCTCTCAATGTGTTAACTGTTTTCTTGTCTCCCACATTGAACACAGTTAGTCTCATTTATTGTCTTTATAAAGACCATGAATAATTCAGTGTATGCCAAAGACTTAGATAAGGATGACAACTCAGTGCTGGCATCCCTGCCCTTATGCCTCTTAGAGCCTAGTTGGAGGAGCAAACATCAATCAAATGTTGAACAACTAAACATGTAATTGTATATTTTCATAATCATGTTCTCTTACACCCTATGAGAGTCAGGAGTGTGAAATTCTGTCTTTCTGTAACTTCCTTTTTCCATGTGAGATGTTTGCCACATCAACTAATCTGGACTCTATTCAGTCATCTCTCAGTGAGGTTGTACTGTCCTTAGGTGTCTATTTAGTTTGTTTTTACTCTTGGCCTATGTTATGAGATGCCTACTCTTACTGAGTGAATAATCCAGTCCTTTCCCATTGCCTTCTCTGCTTTCCCAGGAAGGCTGGTCTGTGAAAGTTTTTTTCTCTATTGTTTCTTCTCTTTTGGGTTTTGTAAGGGAAACTCCAGAAGGCTTCTTGATTCACACTGGGTGAGGAAAAAGTTTCCATCTTCAGTGTTTCCTTGATTCCATAGTGTTTTCTTGATTCACACTGAGTTAGGAAAGAGATTTTCCTTCCATCTTCAGTGTCTCCTTGATTCCATAGTCCTGAGACATTTTAATAACTTTTATGTGCTCTTTTGTGAGGTAAAAATACTTTGGTATGTGACACACTCTAATTTGAAAAGCTAATGTTTCAGTGTTGTCATGCTTTGGACAGGATATTGACTAATTCCAGTTATTTTTGTTTGACTTGTTGGGTTATGAAGAGCTGCTAGCCATCACTGTTTGCAGCGGTCAGAATTGTAGTACAGGCTGAGTACCCAGAATCTCCAACTGTGAAATGTGTAATTCCAACACAGGAAACTATTTGTGAACTGGGGAGATGTCAAAAGTAGAAGCAAATCCCACATCTGACCTCATGGTTAAAGTATAGATATGCCAAGAATATTATATCAAATTATCTTATGAATCTCAAGGTATGTATAAAACATAAGTGATTTTCATGTTTAGACTTGGGTTCCATCCCCCAAATAGCTCATATGTATGTAACTATTCTTAAGTAAAAATATTCTCAATCCTAAATACTGTGGTCTCATGCATTTCAGATGAGGGATACTCAAATTGTATTACTTTATTTAAATAACTATTAGTCTGAGTATCCTCAAATTTGGTCCTTTGAGCCTTTTAAAGTGTCTATCCCTTTTTCTCCCCAAGAATCTAGGTCATTATCTGTGATGCTTAATCTTCATTGCCAACTTGAATGGATTTAGAATTGCCTAGGAGACAAACATGTAGCTGTCTTTATTAGGGCATTTCCAGAGAAATTTAGTTGATGATGGGCAATCTACCCCAGCTTTGGCTAAGGGTTCTGGACTGGATAAAAAAGAAAAAAAGGAGAAAGTAAACCGATAAGCATCCGTCTTGTCCCTCTGCTTCCTGACTGTGGTTGTAGTGTGACTCAGATGCTTCACGAACCCACTGTCACAATGAGCCATAGTCACCAGCATACTTCATCACCACAGTGGACTGTTTTCTCAGACTGTAAGCTCAAACAACCCTTTTTTCCCTTATGCTGCTTCAATCCCAGTATTAAGAAAAGTGACTAACATGTCATCCAACTCCAGGTCTTCAGTGGAGGTCTCCGTCAGCACTGGCCACAGGTTCTGTGCCCCACTTGCAGCCAAAACCAGTCTCAGATCCTTCATTCACCTGCAAAGCTTCAGTCTGTGTCTTGTCGATAGTCTTTGTCTCTAGGGCTGCCTGCTTTCTCAGATTTAACATTTCTCCATCTTGAGTTTCTTTGAGGTATTTGCATTTCAGCTTCTTTTTCTTTTTAAAAAAGAAAGTTATTTTGAAGTAACTTATTTGTCTTCTGAGAATATGTTGTTCTTAACCTTCTCTGAAGTTTTCAGAGATTGAGCACTCTTAGGTGGAGTGAGTAGGACTGGGCAGGAATATTGAAACATGTCCATATAGAATCTAAATATACAAATGTATACATTTATATATTAATACATTTATTATATAAAATTATACATATATATAATGTATAAATATATATTTATAAAAATATAAAAATAAATATAAATGTATATAATTTTTTCTTTCCTGTTGGGCTTCAGAGTTGAGATTGAGACTTAAGCAATAGATCTTGAAACACATTTAATAACTCTGATTGGTTTCTCCATAGAAGTGATTAAGATTTTATGGTTTAGAGTGAGCTGGCCACAACATTCAGCTTAAGTAGCACTTGTGAGGTTCTTGGAGGGAGCCCCAAGGGCTGCTTCTTTCTTATGAGCTTGGGGGATGGGTGCAGGCTAGAATAGCAACTTGACTTAGGTCTTGGCTCATTCTATCACAGGGGCATGGATTACAGATCAGAAAGGATTCTGTGAGGCACCTCATCTTACAGTCTTGTGGTAGCCCTGCCCTGTACCTCACTGATCTCCTATCTTAGATAAAGAAATAGCAGAATATTTTGTGGAGGTTGAGATTGCTGGCAACCAGCTAGCTAGGAAGTTCTTATGGTCAGGATGATGAGGACTCAGGGTTTGAGCTAGTGCTTCATGAACTGACAAGTGAGGTCCACAGGAAAGACAGTGTTGAGGAAGACTGTGGGGACCACGGCAGTGAGCTAGTACCATGATTCCTACCTTCTCCTTCTTAACCCTGAGTATGCTTGAGTAAGTTGATACACACAGCATCAACATGTGTGGAGGTACCCACCGAGGCCAGAGGGTATCAGGTCTCCCAGACCTAGAATTATTGGCAGTTGGGAGCCTGATTTGGATGCTGGAGACCAAGCCCCATTTTCTGTAAGGGCAGTAATCACTCCTGTGCTTGCTACCTAAATGACTGATTTGGTAAGTGGTCTACACATATCTTCCAGTTATGCTTGGGGTTGAGATCTCTTGGCTACCATTCCTGGCACTGGAGAAGTTGCTGTTCTAAAAATGTATGTATTAGAAGGAAGGCCTGAGAGATTTTGAAAAAAACTTGCAACTAAAAAGCCTTGAACCCTGTGAATATTTTTATAAAAAGAAGAACGACCCTGCATTGTCTGGGGTCATATTTGCCTCCCAACATCAAAATAGATGGTGGTTTTAACAAACCTGATAATTTTGTTGATTCTTTATAATGAATTTGATGACTAACCCTTAGTTCCTTGAGTAAGAGTCTGCAGTGAACATTAAGGAAGGTAAATCATTGTTCTGCGTAGGCTGTATATTTTCTGGCCCCCAATCTAATGGTTTATAGCAAGAAAGGACACAAAGCAATACTTTCAAAAGTTCTGTTTATTTTTATAGGCAAATGGAATCATTGATCGGCTAGAATGACAATGTGTCTGTTATAAAATTATCTGTGTACAAGAAAGGTAAACTGGCCTTGAATTATATTGAACTTTCTCTATGGCAGCCATAGAAAATATTGAGAAGTTGTGAGGATTGTAGTCAATTGATTGCTCTGGCTATTTCAGGTCTAGCTAGATACTTGTTTACATTCTTATGACTTCTTTATAAAATACATTGTTATATTTTCCTGCCTTAGAAAATATGAGCTGTTTGACAAATATAACTTAATCTTCCATGATTCAGGCTTGTGGTGATTCAGCGGTCATTAAGAACTTGAATTGTCCTTGTGCCATGCAACAGACAGGAAAGGTTGGGCTGAATCCAGGGTGACCTCAGGACTTCCCTACAAGTTATTTCTGGGAGAAGCTACTGAACACAACTCTTTTTTTTTCTTCTCTTCTTAAAGTTCATTGCAAAGAGTGGAGGACAAACACCTCTCAGGTATTCAGTAATTCAATAACCAAAGACCAAGTTTCTGAATATTTGAGTACATAGGAAGTGAGACTTACTTCATTCTTAGCTATAAAGTTCAATCATGAGAGTTCTAGTCAGTGTTTGCCCTCATACACTCGCTGTGCAGAGGGTGAATGTGTGTACCTAGTTATGAAAGAACAAGGGAGGTACTGATTTCCACAGCCTCTTTCATTTCTTATAATTGGAGCTATGCTTCTGTGATGCAGGTTGACCAAAGGCTCACTTCAGATGATGGGGCCAGTGCCAACGTGAAGGCTGAGGAGGAAGAAGGGGACTTGAGCTCAGGGGCAACTATGTTCATTGATTTCATGTTACAATGAAGTTTCTGAAGCCCTTAAGGTTGAAGGTGGATCTGATGTTGCCATCCTACCATCAAAGCTAGACTTGCATGCCTCAGGGCCCAGAGAGGTCTTCTGGTCAGACTTTGCAAGTCCCTTTAGACTTCAGACAGTAGCCTGATGGAGAAGGGAGAAGTGCCAGAGTCGGAGAGACCTGATTTTGGATCTAGACCAGGGTTGGCCTAGAAGGATAAAACATAAGGACAGATGGATTGCAGCTTGTTCTCTCTTACTGCCTCCCCTCACGCTGAAGAAGAATGGAATTTGTTACGCATTTA